GGCAATCACTGATTGCTTCAATAAATAGCGGCTGCTTCATTCACTGGGTTGGAAGAGCCCAATGGGAAGAGGAAGAAGCCAGTTTACAAAGCTGGGGAAATGGAAGCTCCTTAGATCCTGAGAGCCCTTGACATCATTCGATAAGGGTTTCATCTCTGCGAAACACTGCATGGCCTCCCAATGTCTCAATAAGCATTGAGAGTCTTTACTATCATTCCAAACCATTCGCTTGCTACTTATGTCTAATACTTACAGAAATTTCTTTTTAATGGCATCTCTAGAACTGACATAAATGGTGCTTATCAAATGTGCACTTTCAGGAGCCCAGAATATAAATACTGGATCTTCTCCTATTTCCTATTTGGCATCGTATAAAGCTTCTTAGCAATCCTTCAGAGATTAGCAACTTTATGAAAGATGAGTAGGGGTCTTCTATGCTATCATTGATAGAATCCACCAAGATTTGATTTGCTTCCTCTACCATTGCTTTTTTTTTTCTTTTTTTAATCATTATTTCAATAGAAGATAATCATTTACTTTCTTTTCTTTTCCTGGTCCCCTCTGATAGAAGATTCCCTTACTTCCACATCAGTACAAATTTTGAGGACTTCATCACTCTCTGTAACTCCAGAAGCCACAGTGCTGGGGACTGTGATTGTGGCCCCCTTTTGAGTCACAATTGTATCGTATTCCTATTGCATGTTAAAAGTAAGCATTTAAAACACACAGTTTTTTGACTCTGTATTGACATTTCTTCATGTTTCAAAAATTTACTGGGACCCTCCATAAATGGAAGTGACCAAGCCACCTTCAACCTCTGGGAGGCCCTGCCGGGCTTTCAGATGGGAGACGGCAGCTGTCACGTCTCACCACAGTCTTCTCTTCTCAGCCTAAGGCATCCTGGTTGGGTAGATCGACCCTGTGTCTAGACTTCCACCATTTCCCTTCATTTTCCTGGCACTCTCTGGTTTCTAAAGCACATTCACATTTGTGCCAGGCAATGACTCTCGTTTGTTCAAGTGTTCTTGACTCCCCCCGAAGCTCCACACCAATGTGTCCCTCTGTCCTTGACTCCTTGACCACAACTCTTACCCAGGGAGACAGCCAGGACCCAAAGTGGAGAAGAGTCAGGGAGAACCAAAACAGCAGTGCAACCTGACTTGACATCTGGGTAAAGGAGCAACAACAGCAACCATGAAGAGTGCTTTTGCTCTGTGCCAGACACGAGCTAAGGGCCTTGTCTGCATCATCTGATTTATTCCCCAGCTAAGTGTCAACGTTACCTCCCTTTTATAGACGGGGTAACTAAAGCTCAAAGATTTTAACTAACTGGCTCAAGATCATATAAAGTGCTGGAGCCAGGATTTGGATTCAAGCATCAATAGGTGCCAAAAAAGTATCCCAGCACCCCCAGAATGGAGTTGCAGTGTATCTGACTTAGATCTCTACCACAGTCTGAGTGACCTATAACAAAAACGACTTTTAGGAGACGCAATTTACCTGCTCGCTGCATTCGTGTAAATGTCAGGCTTTTATCCGACCTTATTTTACTCAGAGTTCTGAAGCCCATCCTGAACCATTTCTCAGAGGTCTTCAACCCTACTCCAAATACAGAAGTAAAGAGCTAAAATGGAGGGAAAGGCGTGCCGTCAGTCTCTAAAATAATCACCATGACAACAAAGTCATGATCATTTCAAGATCTCAGGCAATAAGAAAAAGTATAAGCAAATCTCCAACCCAGTTTTTCCTCAATACGACAAGCAGATGGGTGTTGGTAATATTTTAGAGGCATTTTTGTTTCAGGTGAGTCCTTCCATGACGTGGTATTATGGAATGAAACAGAAGTAAGCGGCAGGTTCTGGCAACTGTGTAGGCTTAGGTATAGTCCAATCGACAATTCTCTGTGCTGTCCCTGCATGATAAGTTATCCCAGTGGGGCTGTCCCTTTGCCAAGAGTCTCCTGCACACAGTCATGCCCTGCACACCTATCCTCACATTTTGAAGAGGGATGCTCATGTAGGTCATGTAGTTTTTCCACCATCTCACAGCTGCTAAGTGGCAGAGCCCAACCGTAAACCCTGATCTGTTTACACTCCAAGCTGGGCTCCTGCTCACGGCCACGCTTGAGGCCTGGGCATCACTTCTGCACCGAAGAAACGGGCAGAAGTCCCTTCTACCTGCAGCCCTAATGTAAGGAAAATAAGGAGTAACAAACTCTGCTTTCAAGTATATGAGGAGCAGTGAGGAACTTTCCAGAGACAGGTTTGCTTTTTAAGAGCAGGTTTGCCCTGTCCCCATGGTCCTCGTGTCCCCACGATATTTGTACCCATGCATGACAGACTCTTGGAAGGTAAGGTGTTAATGATTTGTATGTTACCATAGCATGGCAATAAGCTGGGGCACCTATATTTACTTAGGCATTTTGTTCCTCGACCACTGCTATGGACTGAATTGTGCCGCTCCCTGGTCCCAATTCATGTGTTGAAGCCCTAATCCCCAGCGTGATGGTATTTAAGGTGGGGCCTTTGGGAGGTAATTAGGTTTAGATGAAGTCATGAGGTTGGAGCTATCAAGATGGGATTTGTGTCCTTATAAGAAGGGACACCAGAGAGATGGCTTTCTCTCTCTCTCTCCACCATGCGAGGACACAGCAAAAGGGCAGCCATCTACAAGCCAGAAAGGAGCCCTCACCAGACACTAACCACGCTGGCGCCTTGATCTAGAACTTTCAGCCTCTAGAATTGTGATAAAATAAACTTCTGTTGTTTGAGTCACCCAGTCTGTGGTATTTTGTTATGGCAGCCCAAGCTGACTAATACAACCAATTAGAGCAAGAAATAAGATTAACTGAAAAAACATTTTTTAATAAATATATGTAAAATCACTTACTTTGAAGGATTTATAGCGTTCATCATTTAACACAGCTTTAACTTCCGAACTTTCTCCATCTTCAATAATTTCCTACATGGACAGTTGAGAAATATTTTAAATTAATGATGCTGGACAATCACTGTCAAAAGACTCTCTAATTCGCAGATCTAGTAACTTGATTTCTCATGAAATGCACACCTGTGCATGCAGGATGTTTCCCTAGCCGATCTGGAGAAAGCAAGGCATTTCCCTGTAATCCCGAAAATCCTAGCTCATCACATATCCAAAGACCCCTTTACAATCCTCAGGAACAAAGATTAGAATGATTAGGGTCCAAATCTACAGAATCCCAAACCAAAATATTCACAGAAAAATATATGTCCAAATATTTGTGATAATTTTCTCTTCAATTTATATGAACTTCCTGAAATAAGAGAACTTTCAATTGAGCAGGTTATTTTGAACCCACTGAAAAGCCAATCCACATTCAAGCCCTATGATGTCTAGCTCAGAGCCACCCTCTTCCAAGTAGAGCTGGGATTATTTTCCTTGAATAATATTCCTTGCACTTGACTATACTGACATTTGCTACCACATGACCAGCATGCCTTGCTGGGGAGTCCTTAAACATCATTCAATAAATAAACACAGAAGTGGAGAGGCAGAATCAGCTCTACTGCATGTCACCCCCACCACTGTGCTGGAGGTGACATCCCCCGAGTGAAACTTCGGTCCTCCATGCAGCCTGCGTTTGAAACCAGACCATGCCCCTGCTGTCAAGATTTTTGGTCACTTGAGTCTTTCACTGTGTTAATAACAATATGGGAGAGTTCTTCTGTCTCCACTACCCGGCCCCATGTAGCTCCAGCTGTGATAATATTCGGGTATGGGTTATACATAACATGCATTTATCTTTGTATATCTACCTCTACATGTATCTATTAATACATATGTCTCGGTAGAAATACACACACACACACACATAGAGACAGAGACAGGAGAGAGAGAGACAGAGAGAGGTGACAAGAAAATCTGTTAGCTGCCCCTGCCCCTACTTATTGGGAAGTGGGTCAAATCCCACCTCACCCTTACCTCTATGATACACTTCACCTTGTCCCCCAGGCAAGGAATTCCTTCCGTGTCCCTCATCGTGATGATTGTGAATGGTAGAGATTTCAGTACAGAAGCTGCTCTCATAAATGTCACAGCGCAGCCTTCATTTTCTCTAAACTCATAATTTTCCGCCAGTATCTCAAAGGCATCCTGAACGATAAAACCAGATAAGCAAAAGTTCTGTTTCCAATCCGCTGAGCCAACGGTCACCAGCAAACACCTCTTGCTCTCCTTTAAATATTGGAAAACTGCTTAACTGTTTCCTTGAAGGTCAAGATTGGGTCCCCCGTACCTTTGCACTCCTCCCTTGTAGCATCAAGTGGAGTTGAATTGAAAAGACAGGCACCAGAGTGCATTATAAGGAAACTTGGAGTTGACTGCAGTAGGATATTCAGGAGTGATTTAACCAAAAAATGATCTGGTGCTCACTGCTTCCTGCTAGTCATGACTCCATATGATCCTTCCCTCTTTGCTGTCTTCCCCACTAGCCTGTGGCCAGGGTTCTGCCTTGATCACTGGGTGTCCCCATTTCTCAGCACGTACATAAAACACAGCCAGCGCTTAACGTGGGCTTTTTGAATGAATGAGTGCCAGCACAGAGCACACAGACCCAGGCCAGGGTTATTTAAGGTAGGGTGTGTTTGCATTTCCAGCAGAGAAGGAAGCAGCAGCAACTGTGAGATCCCATGCTCAGTGTGCCCAGTAGCTGCAAATTCCTGATCTTCCTCGCACACGTGAGGCTGGAAATCTAGAAATGAGAAGCTTTGTATTTGATATACAACTGCATGTCATCTTCGGCTGACCACTGACTCTAGGCTAGGAGCCAAGCAGTTATGAGCACTCAGGGCCATTTGAAATGCAATTCCCAAATTTCAGGGCTAGGTGGAGCTTTAGAGAAGATGTGTGGAACTTCTTACTGAGTGGATAAGAAAACTGAGGCTCACGGAGAGGAACTGACTTGTCCAAACTGGTTAATATCAGAAGGGTCTGCTCAATCTTTTGGTTTCCCAGAAAAGGCTGCTGGTGCATTATTGCTATTGCTATGTAATTTGCTCTTGCTATGTTTTAGACTAATTACAGCATTTGTTTTTTTCAGAATGTTTGCCTTTGACAAGTATAGCGCCCATTAATGACAGCTCTCCATAAATAGTACTCTACCATCTCTAAAGAATATAGCCCAAATGTATTTGTCCATTTCCAGGAAAGAAGGAGACCTATTCTTAACAGAAAGAAGAACCAGAGATCAGACTAAGGCGATGGGTAGGTAGGGGGAAAATTTTCCCAGATTTTCAGAAAAAATCGTAATTTAATTTGCAGGTCCATGGAAAGTAGCTGCATGGGCATTGATGTAAAGTGCCATTACCGTGAATATGTGGTTACAGTTGTTTAAAGTGGTTCTTCTCTGACACGCGTACTGGGAGATCTTTGGCACAGTAAGCGGTGGAGTCGTCTGGGGGCCTGGGTTGGGGCTAGCTGAATAGTTGCTCCTTGCCTGAACAAATGCAGAAGCATCCATTTTAAATAACAATTAATGGTAATAATAACAGGTATGTATGAAGAAAAAAATTGGAAGCAGTTGTCTCTGGAAGGAGGATAAAATTATAGGAGACTTAAATTTTATGTTATACACATCTCTAATAATTGAATTTTCTAATATTAACATTTATTATTTTGAAATCAGGAAAAAACATGAAAAAGAACCACCAAATTAAATATAATTTTTCTTTTCTGCGAACTTATGTAGTTATGGCCCAAGCCCTTTACCCGAAGACTCTAGCACTATTGGTCAAAGATTTGGAATTGAGGGCTTAATTTTATACATATATAGTTTTTTCATTCTGAATGATCATAGTAAGAAAAAAAGTAGAAACTAGGGAATCTCTGCTTTATCTGGCTACCAGAACATCGAGGCTTAAATATTTTGGAATATTTGTGCATAAACACGTTCATAAAAATAGCTACCATTCATTCAGTGCCTACTATATATCACACATGGTGTTAAGTGCTTTACATAAATGTTATTCTCATCCCCATGACCACTTTATGAGGTCAGCATTATTGTTATCTTATATCATAGAGGAGGAAACTGAAGCTCAGCAAAGCTACGTGACTTGCTCAAGGTCACATGGGAAATAAGCAGAGAACCTGGGCTTTAACCCAGGTCTGTTGATTTTAAGCACATATTCTTAACCATCAGTCAACAGGCAATGACAATCACAGCCACGACACTTACAACAAGCTGGTGTTTTCCCGTCATCTCCACTGGTTTCCCTGCTCTCATGCATTCGATCAGCCAGGAGACATCTAGGACTTCCAGCTGTGAGCTGGCTTTTATTTTCTGTACCTGAAGCCACTCCAGAACGTCTGCACCAGAGTTGTTCTCTGCTACAATGTGGGTGACAGAATCACTGCAAAATGCAAGACAAAGTTGCCAGCTGAAGGAGTATTCAAAATCAGCTTTCCTCTTTCCTCGAGGTTTCCAAGTGTTCTGTTGAAGAAAAACGCACACTAGACCTGACCACAGGCGCAGAGAATTTAGGCCTCCCTGTGAGGGAATTTTCTCTGTATGAATTAGTGTGGCAGCAGCGGGCTATGTTATGATCAGTTACAAGAAAAAGTCAGACAACATTAGCAAGACGGCATCAGTGGAAAACTAAGGTCCAGAGAAGATGGAAGAGGAAATTATTCTTAAAGTAGCACCTAACACCCCACATATGGTTTTGGTGTGCCATTTCATTTTTATTTGTGGAGGATTTTAATCCAATGGCTTTCAAACTTGTTTGACTGTGACTCGCAGAAATACATTTTATACATTGACCCAAAATAGAAACAAAAGTAGGTACAGATGTAGATATGCTTATAACATCTGTCTTAGTCTGTTCGGGCTAACAGACTATCAGATAACAATCTGTCTTAGTCTGGGTAGCTTATAAACAACAGAAACTTATTGTTCACAGTTCCGGAGGCTGGGAAGTCCAAGATCAAGGTGCTGAGAGATTCTGTGTTTGGTGAGGGCCTGTTTTTCATAGATGGTGCCTGCTATGTGTCCTCACGTGGTGGAAGGGGAAGGCAGCTCTCTGGGGCCTCTTCTATATGGGCACTAATCTCATTAACCAGGTGGAGCCCCCATGACCCAATCACCCCCTAAAGCTCCACCTTCTGATACCATCATGCTGGTGATTAGGTTTCAACATAAGAATTTTGGGGGGACACAAACATTGAGACCATGACAACATCCCATTAAACTGATCTCACAACCCATAAATAGTTGTGACCAGGCTTTGGGAAATTTTGCTTTATATGTTTTTCAAAGCACAAGCCTGTGCTACAAAACAGGCAGGGTCCTTCGCTCTAACAACCATTAAGTACTTACCATGTTTGAGTCACTGGCCAAGTACTTTACACACATCACCTCATTTAGCTCTTCAAGTAAGTGTTATATTATTCACACTTTGAAAATGAGGAAACTGAAGAACAGAGAGGTCAAGTGACATGCTGGTGGTCAATGATATTTATCCTTTTTGATGTCTTTTCTGGGTCAGGTATGTTGTTGCTAATTTCTAACAACTCTTCACAGTCAGTATCATATCATTAGACCCAGTGATTTTCAAGATTCTTTCAGTTGCAATAGTCTATAAATCTGAGAAATAGCAAGGGCAAACAGCATACCCCAGTATTCGAAAGAAAAAATGGAAGTATTTTCTCTTCCTTTTCCTACTTCGTTTCCTTGACTTCCTCTCCCTCTGTGTTCTTTTCTTGATTGACCCTGATTCATTAGGTGTTTTTTGGTTTGTTTTCATATGCGCAGCATATATACACTGCAGTTCCTTGTGGCAGTGGTAGCAGTGACGGAGGGGGCTGAGGACCAAAGAATAAAAGGGAAGTTCCTGGACATTAGTATCTTACGCGAAACAGAGAGTTAACAATGTGAGTTGTGACGAGACGTGAAGTGGACAAGATCTGCCAGTGTTCAAAGAAGAGAAAGGGCATGGAGTGAGCGGGGAGAGGTGGACGGCTGAGGAGGTGCTGGGAGTGTGTCCAGTCCTAACCCATGGGTGGGCAGGTACCTGGAAGGCAGGACTTGGGGTTCTCCTGAGAAAAGCGGTTCGGAGGCTAGAAGGACGGGAGGGTTGGAGTGGAGAGTTTATGTTGGGAAGCAGCTGCAAATGTGGCTGAGTTGGTAGGAACAACCACGTTCTAGAAGGTCTTAGAAGCCTGTTGAGGAGGTTGGATCTTACTGTCTGGGAGTGTGGAGCCGGTGCGGGCTTTTGCTAGCAGAGCATCGATAACATTACGGTATAATTTAAATAGACTCATCTAGAACACACAATGATTTGGAGGGCAGCGTGATGGGGTGGGGAGGGGTGGGGAGCTCCTTAGGAAGAAGAAACAATAGACTGAGTGTGAGATGACTTTAACCCAGTCTGGTTCCTATGGCGCCAGGAAGGAAGGCAAAGGAGAAATACGATGGACACCGGGCATTCGCTCACCTATAAAAGATGAAGCAGAGAGGAGAGTCAAATATCCCTCTAGCATATTGATCATAGTAAGGTAACAGGACTTTTGGCAGATATGGGGATTCAGGAACTTGTATCTCTTTGGGGGAAGGGATGGGGCAGTGGAATTGAAGTTTATTTCGGGCATGCTGCATTTGAAGGATGGCAGGAGATCCAAATGAAAATATCCAGTTGACAGTTAGGATCTGAGGTTGGCACTTGGAGAGAGGTGGGGGCTGGAGGTCAAAGCTGAGGCCATCCAGACAGCGGGACATGCAGCAGCACCAAGCAGAAATAAATTGTGGCAACATTTTATAACGGTTAAGGGAAGACGGGTGACTGCTGTCCCATTCTAGGTCTATGTAATTCGAAAAATTATTTATAATAAACTTCTTGAAAGATTCATGTTAAGACTTTAAGAAGACAATAAAAGGATTAATAGGCTTATATAGGGAGTGTTATTCCATCTATATTTCTGCCCTTTGGAGGGAAATAATAGTATTATTATATTTATGATATATTATTATTTACGATAATATTATTATAATATATAGGGTTTTGCCTAAACCTCAGAGGGAGAAGGGTGTTCTGGGGAAAGTGCTGGGGCTCCACTTCTAGATTCAGGGCCCTCTCCATCCACACTGTCCCTACCAGCCCTATGCCACTTCTCCAGGGCTTCCCCAGGACAGAGTGGGAATGTCTGAGCTCACACAGTTGGATGAGGATCACGTGCATTTCTTAGTCAATATAAGCAAGTTCGTGGATGATGGGCTGTACACCATACAAAGGAAAACTCTGATTTAAATTTCCCATTCCTGCTCAATTAAGCAACTAGCAAACTAAATAAAACAGCAACAATAATACAAAGTACACACAAAAACAAACAAAACAAAATCAACAAACAAAACCTCTTAAGCCAGTGCCACTCAGAAATCATTATTCCTTGTCCCTGGTTCCTGACAAGGTTAAGTACAGAAATTGTAAGTCAGCATTTAGAAATTAATTGTAATTTGACATCACCACGATAGTTTTATTGTGGCTTTTAAAAAACAGAAGCTTAGGTCTGCCACAAATTTTTTGAAAACTGGTCCTATACCACAAATAATTGAAGAAATACTGTTTAGAAAATAATCCCCATTCTTGTCCCATCTGTATTTCCCACCTTCTTGTGTTGCCTGGGTCAGGCTGATCCTCTCCGTGCGACCCCCTAGGTCTGGGCTGCGATGCGCTTCCTCAAGTCGGACTGTCATCAGGCCCTTGCAAACTATTCAGTCTCCAGTTGTGCGTTTGTTCGCTTTCAGTTCTGAGCCCTTACCAAATGTTATTGCTAAGGAGACTCGCTGCCTTCACCATGCCCTGCTGACAATTTCTTATCTCTGTGTTGTGGCAGCTGTTTGTCTACTTGCTGGTACAGTGGTTTTCTCTCTGCTCTGAACACTCCAATATTGAAGGTCTTCATAATACTGGAATACTGCTATGCGCCAGATACTCTGGTAGGCACATTCCATACATTACTTCATTTAATTATCAATAATGCTATGAGATAGATATTATCATCCCCGTCTAAAAATGAGAAGAGAGGGCCTGGGAGACGTTCAACATTCTGCCCAGCTAATAATTAATTGGTGGAGCAGGGAGTTGATCCTGGGTCTGTTTTAATCCAAAGCCTGGATGCTTGACCATCTGAGACTTTGTGCTTCATCTGTGGCAAAGGAGAACGCTGCCCACCTTCCTCCCTGTTGCAGAAGGAACCACATCTGGATGGGTGTCATGATAGTAAGGAAACTGATTTCCTTCCCAGGGCAGAAATACAGATGGAACAGCCCTTCCTGTATGACACTATCTGACACAGTGCTCTTGCTGCTGTCGCATAGAACTCACGTTTTGCTATTTTATATACAACAGTATATAGGCTACAACAAGACTGCAGGGCATGTAGAACTGTCCCAGAAAATCTGAAAGAACAGTTGCCATAGCTACACACCAAGATGGAGAAGCCGCAGGGAGGCTGTCAGGCTCTCTGGGCTCTGGGTTTTGCCTACACCTCTGAGGCAGATGGGTGTGCCACGGAGGAGCCCTGGGGCTCGTCTTCCAAATTCAGGCACCTCTCTGCCCTCTCCTCCCTCTGTTCCACTGCCACATTTTCACCTAGGATTCTTCTGGGCATCGCCCTGCCTCTGACGGGGACAGGGACATCCAGACTGCCTGGGGAGCGAGGGGGAAATGCTATATAATAAACAATGATGAATGAATACTGGTATATACAAAAGAAACAGACTAGAAAGAAATGCTAGGCTATTAGCAAAAATTATTTTTTGACCTACACACATGTATATAGTCTTACTTAATCCTCACAACAGCCTTGTGAGCAGGGCAGTGTAATTGCAGATGAGAAAACCAAGGCTGGAGAGGTTACATGAAGCCAGGATTCAAACCCAGGTGTGCCCGACTCAAGCAACCTCTTAACGTTCTACTAGACTGTGGTTAGACCCATGAGGGAAGTTTTGTTTGTTGTTTGAAATATTTTTTTTATGTTTTCCCATTTTCTATCATGAGCTATCTATCATCACTTTCTGCTTAGGGGAAAAAATACACATGAATGTCATTTTTAAGAGCAAATAAATCTGGGATGGGGCTGAGGTCATCTCTGCCTTGCCTATGGAGGCCTTATAATAAAAGGTGATGGAAATCCTCAGGCAGCCACCTCCGACCTCTTCCAAAGACACCAAGGTGCTGCTGAGATGGCTCTTCCCAAAATATCTGTGAATTCAATTCTCACCTAGTTTCTCAGCCAGGACCAGTTGCTAATGTCTTGGACTAAGTTGGGAGGTCTTGAACCGATGATAGCAATTCTGAACTGGGATTTGTCCCTCGGCTTCCTACAGGAAAGAAGACTCAGGGCCTCCTCCTTC